AGCAGCGGCCCCGTGGAGGCCGGCCCGGGCGCCTGCACCTTCGACGCCCGCCACCTCTACACCAAGAGGGTGACCGGCCCGGGCCTCGTCCGCACCGTCACCTACAACATCCTGGCCGACATCTACGCCCAGACGGAGCTCTCCCGGACGGTCCTCTACCCCTACTGCGCTCCCTACTCGCTGGAACTCGACTACCGGCAAAACCTGCTCAAGAAGGGGCCGGCCCGGGCGCCTGCACCTTCGACGCCCGCCACCTCTACACCAAGAGGGTGACCGGCCCGGGCCTCGTCCGCACCGTCACCTACAACATCCTGGCCGACATCTACGCCCAGACGGAGCTCTCCCGGACGGTCCTCTACCCCTACTGCGCTCCCTACTCGCTGGAACTCGACTACCGGCAAAACCTGCTCAAGAAGGAGCTGGCCGGCTACAACGCGGACATCATCTGCCTGCAGGAGGTGGACAAGTCGGTCTTTACGGATAGCCTGGGCCCTGCCCTGGACGCCTTCGGCCTGGAGGGCCTCTTCAAGCTGAAAGAGAAGCAGCACGAGGGCCTGGCCACCTTCTATCGACGGGACAAGTTCCGCCTCCTCAGCCAGCACGACATTGCCCTAAACCAGGCCCTGCTGGAAGATCCCTTGCATGAAGACCTGCGAGGCAAGCTGGCCTCTCATGCTCAGGTGCAGGAGAAAGTGCTCCAGCGCTCCTCCGTGCTGCAGGTGAGAATATACCTACGGGAGAATCTGTTTTTGGCCACTGACCATTGGGGGTGGTGTGGTCGGTAATGAGCTTGGGAAGTTTGGTAGGGCCACCACTGTTAAATGTTGAGAGAGACAGGATTAGTGGTTGAGAGTTATGCTGAGGAGGAGTATAGCCCTGTATAGCCCTCCTTCACAAGGGTCCTGCTTGGGGACAGAAGCTGGGGTGGCAATCACATGTCATAGCGTTCTAGGCTGAGATGTTCCCTGTTTCATGGTAAGTGTGTGTCAGATGAAGAATTGATAGATTTGAGTTACAGTTAGCAGTATCAAATGGAGTAGCACTTAATTTAAAAGAAGACTTTCCCTTGGGACTTGATACCAGGAGAAGGAAAAAGGAATAAAATTTAATGCTCTTTGGCTGGTTGGCATTAACACAGTTGAATAAAAGATGAAAAAAAGAGCAAATGTGACCTGTGGTTGTGGGGTTTTTGGGCTGTTTGGCCATGTTCTTGAAGTTTTTCTTCCTAACATTTTGCCAGTCTATGTGGCTGGCATCTTCAGAGGAGAGGAGCTTGTCTGTGTTCTGGTGTAGTGTGTGGGATAGTTGAGTATCTGTACCTGTGAGATCAGGTTCTTGTTCTTTCAGGAGACTGGGTGATTCCTGTAATCAGGGTGATTTTTGTTATGGGTGTATTGTTGTGATAAGGGAAGGAGATGATCTGTTACTGTGTTTGAATCCCACAGCTACAAATACTCAACAATCCCACACACTATGCCAGAACACAGACAGAGCTCTAGCTCCTGCCCTCTGAAGATGCCAGCCACAAAGACTGGCAGTTAGAAAGAAAAACCTCAAAAACATGGCCAAACAGCCCGAAAAACCTACAACAGCCATCAGATCCCAGCCATGAAAGCCTTTGAGAATATAAAATGTGACCTAGTTTTGCAGTACTAGCTTGCTCTTTGCTTACCAGAGAATTGTTCTGAGATGCCATTTTTAATACTGCAGATACAATTACTTGAACATTCATAGAATGTTTCTTGTAGGTCTCTGTTCTTCAGTCTGCAAGTGATCCTTCAAGGAAAATTTGTGTTGCCAACACCCACCTCTACTGGCACCCAAAAGGTAATTCTGTTACAACTGTTTGTGAGCCATTCTGAGATCTTGCTTTTGGGCCCTTGACCTCAGTAGACAGAAGAGATGGTAGCTGAAGTAGTCATTTTGGGGCAAAAAGTGAATAAGTAAGGAAGGAATATTCCAGAGTTAGTCCTGAACCTTCTGTGCTATTCCAAAGGAGAAGAAATGTAACCACGTGTGAGAGAAGAGTCTTTGTTAACTGAGATGGGGTTAAACATAACTGGGAGATGCAGAAGCATACAGTGGTTCCTCGCTTAGCGATGTTAATTCGTTCTGAAAAAATCGCTAACCGAAATAAAAAAGCCCATAGAAACTCATTAAAATGCGATTAATGCACTCCTATGGGCTTAAAACTCACCTTTGAGCAAAAATCCTCCATAGTGCCACCATTTTTGGTGGGTGGCCATTTTGTTAACCCGGTGGCCATTTTGAAACCGCCGATCAGCTGGCCGAAAATGGGGGCTTTGTGATGATCGCTTCCCTGCGATCATCGCAAAGCAAAAATAGCCCATAGGGACCACTGCAAAGCGATTGCTTTTGCGAGCGCAAAAACATCATCGCAAAGCGATTTCATCACTCAATGGAGCGATCGCTATGCGAGGCACCACTGTATATTGAAACTATTTCTGCTGAGCTGTTAGCAAAGTAACTATTTGGTTTCTTTGAGTTGCCTATGGAATTTGGAGGTGGTAGGGAAGGAGTTCCAGGAATAGTTGAATTAGCATTTTCATAGGACATTGAAGTTTTTCTACTGTAGTTTTCTGAATGATTGCCTAAACATGCTAACAACAGGCCTTTTCCCCCTTCTGTCTTTAGGTCCAAACATTCGTCTAATCCAAACTGCAATATCATTGGCCCATATTAGGCATGTAGTGCATGACATGTATCCTGATGCACCTCTTATATTCTGTGGGGATTTCAATAGCACACCATCCACTGGGATGTATAGTTTTATCAGTAATGGCAGCATCGCTGAAGATCACGAGGATTGGGTCTCAGATGGAGAAGAATCGTGCTGCTCTATGTCTTTAACACATCCATTCAAACTTAAAAGTGCTTGTGGAGAACCGGCATACACAAATTATGTGGGAGGCTTTCATGGATGTTTGGACTACATTTTTATTGATGCAAATGCTTTGGAGGTTGAACAAGTAATTCCACTGCCGAGTCATGAAGAAGTAACTACTCATCAAGCCTTACCCAGTGTTTCACACCCCTCAGATCATATAGCTTTAATATGTGACTTAAAATGGAAATAGACTGAAGACATCTTGCATCTGTCTCTTGCTCTTCAGTTAAGGCACTTTGCTTGCTTTAAGAGGAAACTTGATCACAAATTTTTACAAAGGGGTCTTGGATAAAAAAGGGTTACACGCCTTTTAGTTACATACCATAGTTTTTGTTCTTTCCAAATGGTCATAATTCTCATAACCAGAATGGCCTTATAGCCAGTGTTCCATTTTTCTATTCTAATATGCAAAGCTGTCAACATTGAATGCTCTTTTATAGTTGAATGATTGTGTTCCTTTTTCAGGTGGTTTTAAAATTGTGACTAAAAGTATTTTCTTAATGAATACAAAAATTGAAACAGTTTTGACAACCAAGAGTCTTGTGGTGGTGAGCATTCTCTTTAATGTCTTGCTATTGGTCTTCTGAGAAGGCACAACCTGCCAAAATTGTGTAAATGTATGCCACCCCTATAAAACCATTCCAAAAGTAATTTGGCAAGTGACCTGCTCTCAGGTATTCTGTGGGTGGGAAATCTTGTCCATGTAAACCAAAATCATTGTGTTTAAATAAAGTAAAAATCATGACTGGATCTGATGTACTATTTCTTCCAAATACGAAACAGAGATGTGCAAAAAGTTGGTAAAGAATCTGTCCTGGTATTTTGTAATCTAGAGCTATGTAAACGGAATTTAAAATATATTTTGATTTCCTAATTTACTCATTAATGTTGTAAATTAACAAGTTTTATAGGTGTCTTGAAACACACAGAGAAAATACTCTGTGTTTCATAAAATAAACAGAAGTCTTGTCCCTGTAAAATGTTGTCTAAATTGTAAAAATTGACTTGTTTGGGTACTAGTTATCTGTTATAAAGCCTGGTGGGGATGACAGATGTCTGTACACACAACATCAATTTAAATATATATTTTGAAAAAGATGATCGTAAATCAGGAAGAAAAAGTTAACAAGTCTAGATGAGATGGCTAGAGCATGGACTAATCAATAGTGGGTAAGTGTAGAAGCATATTAAGTTAAAAAGTAGAACATTAAAAAGTGGAGCCCATTAGCAAATGAACTAACAGCTTCTCATTAAATATGGAGAACTATGGTTTTTTGTTTGAAAAATATAATTTGCCTAACCCTGAAACATATAGCTGCATATACAAAGTTTCCCTTCAAAATTTCTGCTCAATACACCAAGAAGGTAGGCAGGACAAATGGGCTGGTTTGGCTCTGTCAGTACTTCAAAGATTGTAGTTTGCTCGAGATCTGATTACAATCATAGTTACTGGCCAATGAAATTTGTCTGCCTTTGGAACAAACATTTGATGAAAGGAGAAATGTGTTTACATATGTTTTAGCTACAGTTTAAAATCGCATTGCCCTTCTGATTATTGTAATCAACACATAAAACACATTCAATATAATCTTGTCTTAGAATATTGGGCTCTTAGCTTCAGGGTGTGAAAGTATTTGAGCTCTGCAGTTTCAAATGAAGTGTTTTGCACTGTACTCACCAGTACTAGTTTAGTATGCACCATTTTAACATTTGTCCTTTCCAATGGATTCGTTAGGTTTGGCTGTTTTTTTCTCATGTTGTGTACTTCACTTACAAAAATATTCAGGGAGATATAAAAAGGCTTCTCTTTCCTACTAGTTACTGTGGTTTGGAGGATCGGGGCCTCAGGTGTTGCATGGACACCCCATATTCTGCACCTCTCTCGTCCTGCAGATGCCCTTTCAGAAGCAGCACCGTGACCATGAGCTTCTCTGCGTGGCCCCTCCTCTTAGAGAGTACCTGTGGGAGGAGGCAGGATGTGGATCCTGGGTTGCCCATGCAAAATCTTTGGGCCCAATCCTGCAAATCACACCAAAATGCGGTAAATGCCCATTTCCACGCCACATTTCCACGATATAGCATAAGGAACACCTTTGTTCCATTTGGACTAGAAAATGTGCAGATCTTGAAACATGCACTGTAGAATTTCTCTGACCATTGGAGAAACCTGTTTGGATTGGATCCAGAGAAGTATAAGATGCATTCCACCTGCAAACATTGCTTCCTGATGTATTTCCTACTGCATATTTTAAAGCTTCTTTCAGATACTTTGAAATAACAGGATGGGCGTTTGGTGCTACAGTAGGTGAGAGGAAGTTCTGAAATATGAAAGGCTGTTTTGCACAAGTGGAAGTTCTTTTCTGTTGATATGGTTCCAATCCAGTTTAACTGACCAGATTTAATGATAGGTTTAGGCTATTCTATGCCAAGTAACCTGTGCTTTGGAAAACCATATTTTAAATGCATGTTAAAATGAATACTGCATAAAAAATGCAGGATGAAAAGCGACAGTATGTGGATAACTTTGCCAGTAACAAAAGATTACTCCCTTTGTGGATTTCCTCCATTCATGAAAGATAATTTGCTGATTTCTCCCTGTCTCTTACTAGTGTAAACTTGTAGAGAGAGAGCTAGTATGAAGAGGTGTCACCATTCCTTGAAGGGAAGGTCCAGCAGCATTCTTACCTAGAAAGCAAAACTGCATTCTCTTTTGACTAATTATGAACCTATGGATTAATAACTTCCAGACACGTATTACTTACAGCCTTATACAGGTATTGGAAACAAGAGCCCATGATTTCCTTTATTGACTTCTTAACGTAGGTTGTCTTTTCTTACTGCCTTTCACTTTTCCTAGCATTATCATTATAGTTGTTTTAGCTTGTAGTGAATTTGGTATTGATCTGCAACTCTAAATAAACTTTCTGGTGGTTCATGGTATCTGCAAATTTCCAATACCATATTCTGTATTGAGTTACTTGTAAATCCATATATTGGCTGAAACTTTGTTCCACAGCTCTGTATACACAACATTGATGGTGGCAGCAAATTGCTGCCGATTAAAGAGAATTTTGCACTGCACACAACTCGTACTCAGTAGAGTGAAGTTGCCCGCACTCTAAAATTGCCAAAGAAAGCCTTAATTGGAGGTGATTTGCCAACGCTGGTGACATTGCTGTTGCACCACAGGATTTCAGCTGTTTGGTGCTATGATAGCCGTTTGTTCACAGGAACTAGTTTTATCAATATAGAAGGAGTCCCCACCCCCTGGTCCGTGACCCGGCAGCAGTCTGTGGCCTAGGGAGGACCAGGCCATAGACACAGATCTCCTCCCGTGAGCACAGCCATGCATATGTACGTGAGGATGCTCTGCCCCCTGCAAGTGTGCTGCACGTATGCACATGAGCGGTCCCCCATGAGCACTGCTGCACGCAAGACGCCCCAACCCCTGTAAGTGCACTGCGCACATGTGCATGCGAGCACCGACGCATGCAAGCGTACCACATCTCCACAAGTGTGGAATGGTTGGGGACCACTACAGTATAGTACTGATACATTTCAAGATCTATCAAAGAAAAGTTATAACTCAGAGAAACGAATTCCAATCACTCATTCTAATGACAAATGTATTTTTTAATTTTATCATCCATTATGTTCCTCATCCATTATGTTCCTTTGACTTTGTTTTCTTCACATTGGCAAGCATCAAAGTTGTTCAAGTCACATAAATTTAAACATTGTTACCACTTTCAACACAGATTTTATTTTATACTCCTTTTATTTGAAAAAAGCCAGCTGGAGAACATCAACTAGATATGGGCATAAACATCCAGTTTGGTGCCCTGCCCCACCTCCTCTGGGTGCTGCCTCTGAGTGGGTACCTGCTGGAGGAGGCAGGGCACCAAACATCTAATCAGCTTTGGCCAGGAAACAAACTGTCAGTTCATGCTCATCACTAGTATCAACTGATGTTACAAGCCTATCAGAATATTTCTTTCCAAGACTTATTTCCCCAGTGTAAATGGGATAAACATTAATATAAATACCTAACCTTTAATTTTCATTGTCCATCTTCTTTTAAAATTTGCGTAATCCTCTAATTCGTGAATTCCTAATTTAGTACGTTAACATTTCTCATGCATCAATGCAGTTTTCATAGAGGGCTACAGTATGTTATTTATACCGTACAACATGAACTGTAATTACAAGGGGTGCAGATGAAGTTAAAAATATGAAGAATACTCTGCAGTTTCTAGAGCAGAAGACATGGCATCTACTTTCACAGAAGCAAATATTAACAACATCAGTGGCAGTAATTGGGATTATAATATGCAAAAACAGTTGTGGAAGTTCAAGAGATTACCACAGAGGAACAGAAAATGACATTCTTGTTGAGGCACATGGCTGCATTAGTATGAACATGGCACTACAGAGTTTTTGTAAGAATAAATGACTCAACAGGTGGTCCTCCCCTCATTTAGAAAGAGTGCACAATTCAAGTGTGACAAATATTAGAGGATGTTGCCTTCACACTTACATCTTCTGTTGGTGGGGAGCCTGATAGTGTATATATTAGACTACACCATCATGAGGTGCTATAAATATCTTTGCATTTAAAGCATGCTAACTTTAACAATGTCAAATGTCCAATATACTTGCATAGCAAGAGCCTATGTCCTAAGTACACTGATTCCTTCAACAAATTCAATCACAGTTACTCAAGCTAATGGACGATGAAATATTCCTGATCAAAAGAATCCATGACCTGCCTCAGGGTAAGGTAAAGTTTCCCCTTGACATTTAGTCCAGTCATGTCTGACTAGGTGATTGTGCTCATCCCCGTTTCCAAGCTGTAGAGCCAGCGTTTGTCCATAGACAGTTTCCATGGTCACGTGGCCAGCACAACTAGACATGGAACACCGTTACCTTCCCGCTCTGGTTGTACCTATTTATCTACAGTACTCATTTTTACATGCTTTCGAACTGCTAGGTTGGAAGGAGCTGGGGCAAGCGACGGGAGCTCACTCTGTCACGTGGATTCAATCTCACAACTGCTGGTCTTCTGACCTTGCAGCATAGAAGCTTCTGCAGTTTAACCCACAGCACCACCACATCCCATGTCAAAAGGTAGGTTGGGTCAATTCTATGTGGCAGTCAAAATTCTAATTCAATAAATTTGAAATATTAATTCCAACATAACATTTGAGACACGTCGGTTCCAAACCTCAGAGTAAATGCAAGTAAAAGAAAATTAACAAAATTAAATTTTTGTAAAAATGATAATTTAAATGGAAAAAAAATCATTGTTTCCAGCAAACACACATGCTCTGTAAAATTAAGAACAAAGACATTCTCTGGGCAGTTTGTACTTTATTACAATTTTAAACTGTTAGCGCTCACATATCTGGGCATCTTTAAAAGGTTCAGATTTACAGCTTCAAAACACTTTTACAGGATTTTAGCCTTGATTAACCACTGTACACAAATTTAACTGCCCACATTTTTTGCCAAATTGAAAACAATTCAAAGGCTATCTAGATTTGTGTTTGTGTTCCAAGGTACAGAAAAAACTCCTGTTTATTGAAAAAGAATAATTTGTCACACATTCATATTATCAGTTCCACAAACTTAAGATTCAAGGAGCATACACAAAGCTATACATCTGTATCATTTTTATTAGGAATAATTCTGTATAGGTTATGAAGAAATTAATCCATTGAGTCTGAAGAATTTCCAAAGTTTGTTTTCAT